AACACATATAAAATAATAATAAAGAAGAAAATATTTAAATCTGAATAAATAAAATAAAAGAAAATCGCCTGTAACGAGTAACACCGCCAAGCGGACATTCAAAGAAACATTCCTCGTCTATACCACTGTCGTACGGTGCATTCGGGCATTCGGTGACTTGAAGTCATCCGGTAAATCATGATGCTCTTACGATGTGCCTTCGCGTTTCATAGACACGAAGATACGTATTAGTGTTGTCTTGCGCGTTTAAACGAACTGTGATACGGAAGTGTGTAGTAGTCTAATGTCAAGGCATGTTTCGTTTATTGTAAATGTATTGCAGTTAAAGTTGACACGCGACATGTAAGCGAAAGCATGCTCGATGCAGCGCGATGCAATTTCAATATTAACGTTAAGTGCATAAGTTCTTTTTGTTACAATTACGACAAAACGTTGATCGCGCAAGTTTCTGTTACACGTGCACGTTCAGCATGTCTATGAAGGTGAGTTTTTTTTGTTAAAACTTCACTGTACGAAGTAGTACGTGTAATTTACTATGTTGACACGTTTTGAATGAAACATTGCGTGTCACGCTTTCGATTATACTTGAAAATTCGAAGGAAGTACTGTTTCTTCGATCAGGTTAATAAATCTTGCGATTAATCTTTCCCTGGTTTTAAATAAAAATTTTATTTTACGTATAAAACTATCGAATTTAAATCTTGATTTAAAAAGCATGTTTTCTTTTTGTATCTTTCTATGAATTTACTTAGCGTTAATGTACATGTATTCGAATACAATAATTAATACAAAAAAAACGTCCCTGGCATATATGCGCTTGTAGGCATAAAACTAGATGAGATCAGAAGAAATTTACGGAGACCTGATGTCATTTCGCGACAGAGTAACAAGTTGCGAACACGTTGTCCTGTTGATCGTACGCATGATTACACAACGATTAACGCTTCGTTTTATTTTTTTACACTTTAATAGAATGTACACGTGAACAGGTAATATCGAACGGTCACGATCATAGATTACAGCAATCGATTGTAATCGCACAAGATCTTTTTATGTGATGCATCGATTATCGTACTTAACGCGATATGACCTAGAAAACACAGAATGCTGGGACAAAACGCTGGAACGTTGCACTTTGACAAGCGTGTATAGTTTATGCATCAAATAAAAAGAGACATTAAAGTAGAAGCGTGTTGTTTTTGCTATAACACATCTACATTCAGGTGAAATGTGTTCTCAGGCTGTGCTCGTTTTTTTTTTTGTACAATTCAATATCGCGGCATTTACATGCAAAACACTGTCATTTCGCATTTTAATCGTGATTGTTCGCGTTCCGTTGATTTCCTAGCGTGTACAGTAAATAAGCAGTTTCAATTAGTTCCGTTAATAAACGCTCTCGCTGGTAGCTCGACTATTCGAAAGGTGTGCAAAACACGGTCTAAATATATTAAAAAGTTCATCTAAGTCTGGCGTGAAGAACAGAGAAATTGTGAAACACCGGGTACTTTCGTAAAAGCACGATTTCAGTTACAGTCGAACGAGTTTAGTTCATCCACCTTCTCTGATGATGATTGCTTAATCGATACATGGCTGACAGAGGGTCGTAAACCGTGTTTTCGCGATCGGTAAAAGTAGACACGAAAATGAAGTGGAACAAAGAGATCAAAGAATTAAGTCCATTACATCGTTTCCTTTCGTTTTCTTTTTTTCTAGAAAGAATCTCCTTGGGACGTGGAATTGCATTTGGCAGCTGCACGTGGAGATGCAAAGCGTCTCCGCGTTCTCCTAGATTCTGGCCGCGTCCACGTCGACTGCAAGGATAAGGTAGATCGAGAAAACTGTTCTTTTTCACCGACGTGTCACACGAGTGACCGTAGAGGGTCGCTTTGTATGGGGAATCAGTTCTACAAGGCGACAATCTGTCGGGTCAATCGGTTCATTATGCAAACGACGCGACTTTAAAAGAGCGAGTAGTTCGAGTAACGTTATTTCTTGTCTCGAAAGTGGTTTATTAGATCACGCACGGGTACTCGTTGTTGTTCCACTTTGGCATGCGGTCAACACTTGACCAGTATATTTGGAGGAATTTGGAATTTGGTCAAGGCACGAACAGTTTACGCTAACCTTCTTTTCAAATGTCATGGCGGATCGTTCTGGCGGTTTTCTTGAATATCTTAAGTTCCCTTCCTTCGCTAATTCAGATACGATCGGTCGAATTAATGACATCATTAAGGATCCCGGTTCCCCTTGATTGGTCGTTACGTCAATTGGAGGAAGCTAACTAACAATCGCCTCGTTATCGCGGTAAATTACCGATGGTAGCGGTGACGCGCGCGATTCGTCGACATTCGGAAATGCATAAAAGACATAAAGCAGGAAGAATCTTAAATGCTGAACGCAAGAAACCGTAGTGGTTACACGACAGATTTACGACACTTAATTGCCTGTTTAACGATATTCGTGTCTGTGTGAGGAATCGCGAAACTTGCCTCGTTTAAATCAATTAGAAAGCAATGCAGGAGAGTTCTCATTATACAGATGGTATCGCTTTGCGTGTGCGCATGCGCACATAAAATTATAACTACTCGAGGTAAAGTTCATTCAAATATTTTTCATATCAATTCGAAGAGAACATTTTTTTTTCTTGTTTAGCGAAACGAGGATAAAAATTCAACTACGACAATTTACCATCGACAGTGTTACCGACAGTTCGTTGACTCTTCTTACTTCTTTTCAGGATGGAACGACTCCTCTAATATTGGCTGCCGCCGGAGGCCACATCGAAGCTGTTACCGAATTGCTGCAACAAGGGGCGGATCCTAATGCCAGAAGGCTGGTAAGTCTCGAGCGGTGTTACGGACTTGGGCCCCATCAATGGACTCCTAAGAATGAATGAAGTCCAGTGAACGCGTGCGTCCTGGCAACCCCGTTACCCACTGAGCGGAATTGCTCCTCGCGCCGGCCGAAAGTTACGGTTTCAGCTGATTTGCTTCCTTTGTTCTGGAATCTCGAGAATCTTTTTCCTTTTTTTTTTTCTCTCTCGTCTGTCGACTTTCTCACCGTAGGAGGAAACCCTCTTAGAGCTTCTTTCAACGTTGTGCATTATTTTTAGATCGTTACATAAGAATCCTCCTTCACTTTACTTCTCTAAAAGCCTGTCGAATACCATAATGTAACATTTTCTCGTCTCGTTGTTGTTAAACTTTTATCGAAGCTCTCGATACTTTTAGAATTATCACGATAATCACTGTTATATCGCAACAGATATACACCTTTCGCACCTCCGCTGATTACAATTTCTCTCGTGAAGAAACCACACTCGTGTGTTCTCTCTCTCTCTCTCTCTCTCTCTCTCTCTCGCTCTAAGTTTTTGCTTACCTTTTTTTTTTCTGGAAAAATAAAAACGAGAAGACACACAGGCGGTTGTCTTCGTGGTCTGATCGCGGCATTGGAGGGAGTTAGCCAGACATAAAAAGCTTGTCACTCGTAACACGAGGCACCAGGAAGCGGTCGAGTGGCCCTTTTTAAGTGGCTCGCGAGCAGGATTTATCGCTGTGCCCACGTATATACTTCGGGTGCCATCGTCGATCCCTGTATTGTATGCAAATCGAATGAAACACAGGGCTCGGACGCGATTTTCGGCCAACGAAACGTCTGCTTAGCTTTCAATTAAGGATCGAGTACCTGCCACGTGATTCATTAATTAAGTCATTAATGTTTGCTTAAGGTAAGGCTTATTGCAACCGTCAACATATTTGTTACATTCCTTTCTTTTTTTGGCTATGTTCCTTTGGTACATTCCTTAAGATCCAAACGTTACTCATCCATTCTCCTGTCTCCTTTTTCTTTTCTTTTTTAGACATAAAGTAACCAGTATGCAAATCAGTCGAAATTTAGTAGCCTGAAGAATGGTAAAAGAACCGAAGAATGTTCCTTCTGGTATTTGACACGAGAAGATGATGTTCTAGATGCGAGAACGAATTACGCAAACACGCGTTAAAACCGCTAAACGCGACACTCGTTGCACAATACGCTACGACTTAACTTCCAGAATTATTTCTATCGATAGTATCTAAAATATAACGCTTCGAACGTTGGCGTCGTTCAGTCTGAAAGACGAGACGATTTCGAAACGGTTTATAGGTGAACTAGATGAATTCTTAATCG